TTCAACAACTTGTACTTTTTTCCTATGAACGAGGAAACATCCATCGCTGTCCTGGCATAATGCAAGCATAGCTTCATACAATAAATAGCTATTACCAGCATACACGCATTTCGCTAGCCCATCGAGCAGATCCTGTGCCTGCAAGATTCCTCCTCTGTCTCCACTGTGCAATTCAGGCTTCCAAGCATGCCAAAGCCTGGAGCATGGTGTCAGTCTTTAAAAGACTGCCTGGTCATCCCCACTCCCCTCCACACCACCGAGTTCCACACTCCTGCGGAGCCCTCACCCCTACTCACCCTTTGCCTCCGAGCACACTAACAGGGCCTCTACAGGTTCTCTCAGCCTGCACGCCCCTCACACGCCGTGGGGGTCTGGGGTACCCTTCATGACTCCCACTCCCATAAGACTCGACACACTCATCTGAGACATCCACATGGCACAGCTGCTCTGCCGATAACGCGTCCCAGCCTCCTCACAGGACACTGAGCTCCACGAGGGACACGTATTTCATTTTCAAATTCCCAAAGGCGGGTAAATAATAGGTATTTCATTAAAATGTGCTAAAGTAAAAATTATCATTAGGCACTAAACTAAACTGCTAATGTACTTTCACTAAACCCATAAAACCACCTCAGGAAATGATGAGGAAACTGTTACTTAAAACGTGAAGAGGAAAAAGTACCCTCTGAAATACAGATAGCACAGAACCATAGACTATCACCAGTTTCCAAAGTTACCTGGAGATAAAATTTACAAAATAAGTAACAACTTTTTTTAAGTTTTCATGTTAAAGCAGAAGCAGTCTCTCTGTTTCTAAAAGGTTATTCTGCTGGGGATGGTGATGCATGCCTGTAACCCCAGCACTTGGGAGGCTGAGGCAGGAGGATCACCAGGAGTTCAAGGCCAGCCTGGAGTACATAGCAAGACCCTACCCTAATACATAGATAGATAGATAGGTAGATAGATAGACAGACAGACAGACATCCTCATTTCAGATAATCAATTTATACCTGAGGCATATCCCATTATTACTTTATGTGACCTGAATTTCAAACCTCACCAAAGGGAAAACCTTACTGAGATCATCTAAATCCCCTAAAATAAACATTTTTACAGTTTCACAGTAACACCCTGAAAGTCAGAGGCAGGAGGATCCCCAGTTCGAGCCCAGCCAAGGCATTAGCACTTAGCACTTAGCAAGACCCTGTCTCAAAAAACAGACAAGGCTGGAGTATATGCAGCTCAGCACAAAGGGCCCGGCTCCATACCCAGCACCACAGGTAAATAAGAGCAGCAGAATTAGTTTTCTTATAAAGCAAGCAATACCTAAGAACTGGCTTTGTACTCAGTGCACCCTCTCTTTCTTATTAAACACCAAGGTCATTAATAAAATGACCATAAGAGGAGACTGCACCTGGATGTTTCTAGTTTATGTCCCTTTATTAGGGCTGTGAGGACCAAGAGTTGCCAACAAGGTAGTCCTGTTTACCTGTTCTGTGAGACCCTAGGGCCTGAGACGCCTGTGTTGAACCAGGGTCTGCACAGAATCCTGCATCTGGACACATTCTGATTCTCAGCCACGATATGTAAAGCTAATTATGGTACTGGTAATTACTATACATTGAAGAAGTTATCTGAAGGCTTGGAAGCATCCGCCAATATTGCAAAAGAATGTTAATTTTTGCCATAAATTTAAGTCCCCACTTGTTTAGTCACATGCTAATACAGACTGAAATATTTCAGTTATAAATGTATATTTTAACAAATAAATTCACATATCATTACTATGGAATTTAATTAACTGCTTGTGGTCAAACAATCATTTCTCAGGGAAACATGCTTCTCAAACTGCCTTCAGAAAATGTTGGTGTGTTTCACCAAAAAGAAAAAAAGAAAAAAAAAAAAAAAGCCCACATAAGAAGCAAATATTACTAGGGCCAAAATTCACACTAAAATAAAATCGAAATATAAGCTGTCAAAAATGAGACTACTCATAAACAGTGGTAAAAAGAAAACTCAAGTGGAAAATTTGACTGTAATACCCCCAATTCTTCACCTAAATTTGAAAGTTAAATATTCATCAGAGATGCTCTTTTGTGAAAATTCTCGTAACTTAAAGCTTCCTGGACAAAAGGTTTTTATTTTCCACCCCCCTCATTAGAACTCAAGATGAACTGTACTGAGTGACTTTGCAAAGAATTAAGTCCTCTACTCTGACAGAAACGCTCAGTTGATAAATTCATGAGCTGCATCTAAACCAAAAGGTTAACAGTCCAAGAAACTTTCAGTAGTGAAAGACAAAGTAAGAATATTAACTAGGAGATGGGATGAGATTTTACACATACCATTTTTAAAAGTTAACTTTTACAGCTAGCTAAAAATTCATTAATTAGGTCTTTAAACAATTTTGCAATAAATGTTCCACCTGAAAAACTAAAAACATTATGCATTTAAAACACCTGACAAGCAATTTCCAAAAGCCTGAACTCAACAAGGTAATAAAACAGTTTAGAAAAATCACTTTATTGTAATAAAGCCTCAGGGGATAAAGCTGTATGTAATTTATTTATATCTTTTACTTTATTAAAGTGCCTTAGTGACCACAATTCTCACATAAGTGATTAAAGACACAAACCCAAATAGTTGAGCAAAGCAATTACTTAAGAGTCCTGTTATTCACCAGAAGTGCATTTAAGAATACTGTATCAGGAGATTGCTTCTTGCTCCTATTTCCAAGACAGATGTGTGCTATTTTGAAAACCGCCCCATTGCCAAGAACCTGGTCAGGTTTACAGGCAGGGTTTTTCGGACACTGGATTAACCATGACTTTCTCCTCCTCTAACATCAAGTGAAACTGCACAGCTTCTCGAATCTGGGTATCAGGAGGCCCACTTTCCGGGGGGAACAAAAAGCTCTTAAGGATCCAGTCCCCGAGACCCTTCCCACCCAGTATGCCCTAGCGAACTTCTTCGGTTCCACCAGTGACTCAAGAGCGCTTCCAGGCGATTGACTGACCTAAATACAGAGTTTGGAAGAGGAACTAGGCTGGCCTGTTTAAAAAAAGACAAGAAAAGAAATTTAGAAATTGAATTGAACCAAAAAAGTCTGTACTGTATTGGTTTTAGGCACCTTCCTTTTTGTTTTGTAACGAGAATCACAAATTTCTTTATGGAATCTGTCCTCAGAAACAGACCAAGGCTTCACAGCAAAACCTTCCTAATTCGCGTCCCCGTCCGTCCGTGACACCAGGCTGCTGTAAGTACTTCACAAAGTCCCGACTCTCGAGCATTCCTGAGAAGACAGTCCTTACAGAAAAACGTGCAGTGCAGCACTTTTTTTCCTTAATTTTCAAACTTTTAGAAGATGAGTTAGTTCTGACAAGATAGAAAACGTTTACATTTCAAAACTTTGTCTTCAAGCAGTAAACTTGGAGATCTGCACTAGTAAACGCCAAAGGAGCTTCAGATAATCGGGGCTGAACTTCTCGTCGCAGCTCCCGGTCTGTCTCTGGCTGTCCACCGACCTCTGCAGGGGCAGCGCCGGCCCACTCCCACGGACGCCCCTGCTCTCTCCCCACTCCGGCAACCCGCTCCTTCACTGAGCGCAGTCCGCGCGCGGGCTGTCACAGCGGAGCTTCGTCTCGGTCTCTCTCGGTCTCGGGCAGCCCTGCGGGGTGGCTCACGCCGATCTGACAGCCCGTTTCAGGGAGTGTCAGTCCTCCACCTAACACGCCAAAGCGCCACTCCCTGGCCCTGTCTACTTCGCTGGGCCTCTGGCCTCCGCGTCCTTTTCTGAGCCGCCCAGAAGCAGGGTCTGACGCTCTCCCGCGTGAGTTCCCTGGGCCCTCGCACAGTGGGAGAAACTTGCTTCTCCTCCGGCTGCGGCTGCGGCCTGGAACGCGCACTCCGGGGAGCAGCAGACTGCTGCGGGGCCCTCCCGAGAGGGGCCTACAGGGAGAGGCGCCGGGAGGACGCGCACAGCCGGCAGGGACAAGGTCAAAGCGGGACGAGCCTTGGGGGGATGAAAAAGAAAAAGCCTTTTAGAACAGCAAAGGTCTGGAGCCGCCGAAATAAGTGTCCTGTAACCTCTCAGCCCGTCTTCCCTACGCTTGGTAAATACGTCCCGACCGTCCGGACTGCAGACGCCACTGCTCCAGCCGGCAAAATGCAGTCAAAAACAGCACCAGGTGCCATTCTTGGGACCCGGCCAAAGGCAGCCAGAGGACGATTCCATTTCGTTCCTTTCTCCCCACATTCAATAATCACGTCAGAGAACGAGAATTCGGATTCGAACGCAGCACTCAATACCTGAGCAAGAGAAAGAAGCGATTCTTGCAGGCACTAACCCCTAAACGTGCCTGGTGCTCACAAGGGTCAGGACTTGCCTGCCTTAGGAGGCCTGGCCAGCAGCCAGCCCAAGCTCAGGAATCCGCCTCATTATCCAGTCAGCAACTAAAAGCAAAGACGATCAAACCACCACATTTTCAAAACTGTCCCGCTCTCGTCCAAACCCACCCCGTCAGCAATCCCTCGGCTTCCAGTCGGGAAATGAGAAACTCGGGGTAAACAAATGGACGAAGGCTAACAAACTTATCTAATTTTGACAAGGTTGTGCAACGCCACAAGAATCCGCAGGATGCCCTTCCCGGGATGTCTTTGAACTCGCCCGCTCTGCAGTCAGGTCTGCAGCTCAACTGGAAGCACCGGCCCCGCTGCCCGACTCTCTGCCCTTCAGCGGCAGCAGCGTCCTTCCCCAGAGAAGGCAGCACACAGACGGCGCCCGGGAGGTCGCAGAGGTTCGGCTCGCAGCCACACAAGTTTCCTCCCCCAGCTCCCAACACCCCCCGATCCAGGCAGGAGAGCGCACGCGGGGGCGCGGGGGCAGAGGCCGCAGCCCAGACCCGCAGCCCAGACCCGCGGCCCGAGCGCGGCTGGCACCGAGGCCGCGGGGCAGCGGGAGGGTGCGGGCTGCGGAGCGGGGTCGGCCGGGAACGGCTCACCTGCGGGGCGCGCTCGGCCGGGTTCTTCATCACCGCCTGGCGGAAGCTGTTGTCCACGTAGGACGCCATGGCCCGGCCGCTCCTCGGCCGGCCGCGCTGCTCGGGCGGCGGCTGGGCCTCGGCTTCTCTGCTCGGCTCGGCTCGCTCGGCTGCTCGGCCGCGGGCGCTCAGGGCCGGGTGCTGCGGAGCGCGCGGGCCTCGGCCGCCCCGGTCGCCGCCGCCGCGCCTGCTCCCCGGCTGCTGGGCCCGGCCGCGCCCCCCGACTGCTGCTGCATCCCCCCGGGCCGCGCCGCCGCCGCGCCTGCCCCCATGGGCGCCGGCGGCCCGGCCTGCGCCCCGCTCCGAACTTGCTCTCGGGCCGGCGGGCTGCGGCGCGGGCGTGCGAGGCCGTGAGCGAGCGAACGAGCGGGACCCGGAGTGCGGGAGCGGCGACCCCCGCTCTGCCTCCGCCTCTTCCTCTGCCTCTGCCTGCGCCGCGACCGCCGCCGAGCCGCTCCTCAGGGAGGAAGCGGCCTCCGGGGCTCCTTGCTTTGTGCTGCAACCATGGTGAGCGCTGAGTGACGAGCCGCCGGGCCAATGGGCGGCCGCCGCCTCACGGGGCGGGGCGGGCGGGGCAGGCGGGCCCCGCCCCGCGAGCGCGAGCGCGAGCGCGAGCGCGAGCGCGCCCTGGCCCGGCCGCCCTGCGGGACTGCGCGTCTCGTCCCCGGGCTCGCTGGGCCGACGGGGCGGGCGGAACCCCGCGGCGCCGCCCCGGCTCTCCTGTCTTCGCCCCACGCGTGCCCGGGTCTGATTCGGTGTCCGCGTGAAGGCTGGGGATGGCTACTCAGGACCCACCACACTGAGCTTTTACAAAATGTTTCAACCGTGCTCCTCCAACGTCTGGTTCATTGAAACGCTTGGAAGAGATTGTCCCTAACATTGGGGTCCCCAGGCACCGGGTGACAGTAACTGCTGGCTGGTTGCTTAGAGCAAACAGCCTAAGCTATGAATTTGTGTACAGATCCTTTTTAATAGTACTTTTGCTGAACCCCCCTTTTTTCCAGTACTGGGGATTGGACCTAGGGTTTTCAAAATGAGCTGCCTGCCCACCCCCTTTTGGGGACAGTCTCACCAGGTCACTAAGCTGCCTGGGCTGGACTCAAATTTGTGGTCTTCCTGCCTCAGCTTTCTAGTGTGCTGGAATTACAGGCTGGCAACACAAGGCCCAACCCTAACATTCCTTCACCTCTTAGTTGAGCACCAACATCACATCCTCTGACAAAGACCGCCACCTTGCAGTCAAAGGAACATAGCGCCGCTGCCGCTCGTAGGAGTAGGGGATTCAAAGCCAGTGAAGTGGAAAAATAGACCTGAGGTCTCACCCGGTGTCTACAGACTTCTCCGAATGAACAAGTAAACCATGTTCCCTTTCTCCTGCCCCAAGCCTGTTCATCCACGGCCTTCACCAAACCAGCCAAGCCATCGGCCAGCCAAAACACCGGAGAGTCCTCCTTGATTTCTTTCCCTGACACCCAGCAGGGCTCCGTGAAGCCTGCGCGCTCCGCCTTCAGAGCCCACACCTCCCCTCGGACTCTGCACACTGCCCTGTTGACCTGACCCTGCTCCAAACCAGCACCGGGGTGCACCTGCACCTCTTTTTCTTCCCTCGCCTCCAACAGCGGGGCCTCAACAACAGCAGCCAGAGAGACCCGCCCCACTCCCCACACGATCAGCCTGGGAGCCGGATTCCTGACCAGGGGTGAAGGGCCTTAGGAGGGAGCCGGCCCCTTTGCCTTAATCTCTCAGCCGCATCTCTTGCCGCTCTGTTCCCTACTCCTTTCCCAAGCGCGTAGGTCCCATGCTGCTTGTGAACAGTGAGCAAATTCCGGTCTCGTGTCTTTCCCATCTGCCGTTCTGTCTACTGTGGATTGTCCTCCCACCTGTCCCCAAACACCCACACCCACCAACCGAAAGAAAGAACAATACCCAACAATGTCCCAAAAGGAGAATGCGTTTCTCACCTCCTTTGCATCTTGTTTCAAGATTCATCTTCCCCCTAACTCCACACACACTCATTCTCCTCCTGCCTTCATTTACTGCCACCTAACGCCCTATATATTTTGGTTTTCTCTCTCCCTCCACTGTAAAGCTTCTGAAGGCAATGATTTGTGCTCCTTTTATTGATTGCTATGCCTCTGATACATAACAGGCAGTTGACAAATATGTACTGAAGAGATAAAGACATTGATAACTTTTGCGTTGCCCTGTGTTTGTGTGAGGTTGTTACATATGTTGTCTCACTAATGTCCCTGGCTGGGGAGAGGAGGCTGGAAGAGATTAACCTCTGTGAGCCCATTTTCTCTTCTACAAAAAGAAAATGGATTTGTATACGTGAAGATTTGTGAGGATCAAATATAATGCGTGCAAAGTCTCTTGCACACTGCTTGGACCACGGTGCGTCCTTACCAGGTGGTGGTTATTTCCAAGATCTTTGGCCCCACCCCCACCCCTGGAGGTCACTGGAACAGTTATTACCATCCTACTTACAGTTGAGGAAACTGACAGTAAAATGGGCCAGGTGACTTGCCCTAGTTCCAGACCTGCCTTTAACTTTGGAAGGTCTGGAACCAGCTAACAAATGAAGACTCACACACCCTGTCGTAAATCCCAAGGACTCCAATTTATCTGTGGGAGGTGGGGGGTACTGCTGCAGGGAGCACCCGCTTCTGATCTGCGTCTTGTACCCCTTTTCTTCCTGCCGCGGCTCCGTCACGTCCCACAGAAAGGACCGCACATAGGAGGACCACCAGCCTGCACCCCTAAGCTACATCATACCCCTTGCAGCCATTGCGATTGCCCCTTTGTGACTCCTCAGGCCAAACTGCAGCCTTGGAAGAGTGACTGGAAGTGGCAGAGCTGAGGCCAAGACCCTCGTCCTCAGGCAGGGGAGTGAGAGCAGGGCCCTTCACGGCAAGGGCCTTAGGCAGATCTTTGGCTTAGCTGCAACTCCTCTTAGCCACAGCTCAGCGAGAGGGTTGGGAATTCTAGCTGCAAATCGACTCTTCTTTCCTCTGAGTGCCATACTGTGATGCTAGATTGCACTGGACCCAGGTAAGGCGTAACAGTATGTCTTATCCACCAGCAAAATGATTAGCTCACTGCCAATTTCTAAGCTATCATTTAACTTCAATTAAACCTGATTTTCCCACCACGTATCATCACGTATGTCAACAATGCTATGACTGCTTGGAATCTTGGGATCTGATACATGACATACATTGCTGTTTTATGAACATTGGAACACCAGTAGTACACTAGGTACAACACGGAAGGCAGAATTAGACACAGATCTGACAATCTGCCAGCTACTCTACACCAAACTGTGTCACAAACCATAATCAAAGTAAGCCATCTATTACGCTGCCTCAGAAGGGCAAGTATAAAATGAGAGGTTTTGTTCTTCGTTCATCCAGTTATCTAGAAAATCATTAGGGGGGAGACCCCTGCATTTTAGGTCCAGAAATACATTTCAAGTTCTGGCCTTAATACCGTTCTACTTGTAACTTTAAAAGCCAAGATCCTCCTAACTGTAAAGTCAAATACATCCCTAAATATATAATGTAGGTTATGTGTTCAGTCATTTTTATTTTTTTAAAAATCTGATGAGTCTAGCCATAACACAAGATAACAGCAAAAATAGTCATTTTATTTTTTAAAAAATAATGCTTATTGTTCAACCAGTCAGTAATTATTTTGTGTGGTGCCGCGAGCAAGGTACTGGTCTCACTGCTTGAAACACTAGTGGTGAGTAAGACATGCTAGGTCCCTCCAAGGTGCCTCTCCTAGGAGGACGACAGGGTCAGAGAAAGGACCCAGGGAGCTGCCCACTCTGCCCAAAAGACCAGAGCTGCTCTCGGTCCCACTTCCTTCAGCTGTGCAACCCCTCAAGGCCAGGGTTCCCACTGAGGGGTTGAAACTCATTCCTCAAACACTGTTCCCTCCCTTGGAAGCATTTTTAAACAGTGGCTTGCAGTTTCTTTGACTCTTGTAGTCAAATGAGTAAGAATCTCAGGAGGGTGGGAGGCTGCTGCTGGATATCAGGGCGGCTGCTTGACTGGGAGAGGTTGTATTTACCTGCAAACATCATTCCAGAGAGTCCCTGGTGGGGGCACAGTTACAGACATCCAGGGGAAGATACAGCATGGCCACAGGCTAGGGCTCTGGCCGGCTAGATAAAGTGTATCAAAAGCACAACTTAGAATCTTAGGTTTGATTTTACAGGCATCAGAATCAATTCAGAGTTGAGGAGCGGCCATGTGGATAAGAACTACACTAATGAGCTGATTTTAGAAAAACCCTCTTCTCCCTGATTTATCAAAGTTATTGCCTTGATTGTTCCCTGGACATAAATTTAAATATGTAAGGGCCTGGGATTTACTTCAGTGGTTTCGCTGCCTGCTGCGCAAGCGCAAGGACCCGAGTTCGATCCCCAGTACCAAAAAAAAAATTAAATACATAAGTCAACTAATATACAAGCTAACAAAACTGTTTCCTTCAGTTACACTACTGTATACCTCATGGTGACAGCAACTTTACTCCATTAGCTTGAAATATTAGGGCAATGGGAAGAAACAACCTGCTTTATTTTCCTTCTTGTAAGAAAGCTGGGACTGACATTTCTGAAAGGAAATGCATTGTTAAACTTTTGGTTCACCTTCAATTCCTTCTATTGTTGCCTAAGTGTTTGTGTGTATTTTTATAATTGCCCTTGGAACTGTGGTCCAGAATCAGCCTGCCAATCTTTAGGGAACCTGCAAAGGACCCTAAGTAAGATATAAAAACCAGAGTCTTTTTAAGCTTGAAAGAAGTAAAATTTCTGTTAAAACCTAATATACTGCATGATCAGTAAGAGTAGTCCATGAATAGTTTTGTTTTGACTTTTTTTTTTTATACTGGGGATTGAAACTACAGCCTTTGCAGTGAGCTACAGCCCCAACCTCTTACTTTTTATTGTTGGTTTGGTTTGGTTTGGTGTTTTTCAGGACAGGTCTTGCTAAGTCACTAAGTTGCCCCAGGCGGGGCTGGAACTTGCCCTTCTTCTGTCTCAGCCTCCCCGGGTGCCGGGATTCTAGGCCTATAATGCATGGACCTCTGCAGCCCATCTGGATAAC